AGCTGCAAGAATTGAAATTTCAGTTGAAATATTTAAGTTGTAACTTCTGCCAATGGCCAAAATTGCGAGTGACATGTATATATAGGCGATGGGTTTGGATTTAATTCTCCTGTAAATTATATCTTTAGTTGCATAAAAAGTTTAAAGCAATGGCTGCTTTACTTGACAAGTGTTGTAAATCGAGGGTTTATTTCCTATTTAATGGAGTTGGTTTTGAGATTGTGGCCACACGGAAAGTGAGCTTTTATGTGGCACTTGTCACCTCATACAGCCTGAGATTATAATAATAATAATAATAATGATAATAATAATAATATAATTATTATTATTATTATTTTGTGTTTAATAAATCTCCGAGGAGCAAAATTATTAAACTTATTCGTATAACAAATCGAATTTCTCATATTGGCATTTTAACCGCATTTATTTATTTATTTTCTCAAGATAAGGAGTGATATAAGAAATAAAGAACTATAAACTTCAAACTTCTGCAAATTAAAGAAAAAAAGGAAGAATTTCATCTACCACACTTGTCACACTAAGTTAGACAAAATTAAAATTCGATAATATTTAATTATGTTTGCCCAAATCGTCTCATACTCTCATTAAGGGAGACAATAAACCCTAACTTAAATAGTAACTTAGGAGATCATTACAAATATTGTCCCCAAATTCTAAAGTCAAACTTTTATATCTTCCACCTCAAATTGTAGACTTAGGGATGATTGTTTATGGATTCAACTAGTTTTTATTTGATTTGTTTTTTAAATATAATTAATTTTGAAAAAAAAAAAAGTGATATGATTAGTTTTTAGTGGATATATTAAAATAATATTTAAATAAAATAATTAAAATTGATTTGATGTAAAGTAGGAGAAAAATGATTGTAAGTGATGGTTAGTTAAAATTATGTGAGTGAATGAATAGTGAATTAAACTTGATGTGATTTGTAAGAATGGTGGGTTAATATTATTTAATCATATTAATAATATTGAAAAAGTAGAATTGAGTTAAAGTTAAATTAAATTTGAATTTTGATTGATTTTTTTATTATTCAATTTACATCCAATCGCTCTTGTCCTCTTTGTGTGGAGTTGAGCTTTGATACTTCAGCCCAAATCCATGATGTAATGTAAATATTTGGTGCAATAGTCAGTTGAGATCGTTCCATATAAATAAATAAAAAAAAAATAATAATAATAAATAAAAAATTGACAGTTATATCATTTAACATTAAATATGAAATTGTCCGTCTTGAATTATAAAATGAAAAAGTCGTGCTTAAAATTCAACTAAAGAAATGCGGTAATTTTTTTTTTAATTGTCAATTATTAATCCATACTTTTATACTGCAGGGTTTGATAAAGTTTTTGCTAGATATAAAATAAATGAATCCTTTAATCGATATTGACATATTATGGGAAAATACTACAATCCCCATATTATGTTCATTTTTAGTTAGGGTAGTCATGGCATATTGTCTATTATTTTATTCTATTAATAGCACAAGCTTTTGCAGCTGAAATACGAATTTAATACAAAATTTTTAAAAATTTTCAAACAAGAAAAATATTTTCTCCGATGTAGGTTGATCAACATTGTAATATCTGCTAAAATTTTTCAACAGAAAATATATTATTGTAATATTCGTCAGATTTTTATTATAATATTTTATGATAATGGGAAAGAAATTAGCCAAAGAATATCTTGCCACAATATTATTATTATTATTATTATTATTATTATGATCAAAATTGATATTTCTTAAAAATATCAAGTGGAAAATGGAAATATGGTATTTTAGCATTTTTTTTAATTAAAATAAATAAGTAAACTAACTAATTCAAAGTTCAAACACTATTATGCTACCCTAGATATTATGCAAAATAATGTGTACCTTGTGCATTGTAAGTTGTCTACCTCTTGCTCAAAAAGGAAAGCACAAATAATTCTCTGTTTCACGGCACACTTCGACAAGCTTGTCACCAAGGTCTTATGGCTTCTTCACATGGAGAAACTAATCATGTATGTTATTTTATTTTATTACAAATTATATTTAACAAAACAGAGTACGGATTTTCAGCTGTATTTGTTGTTAATTTCCGCAAAATAATAAACCAACCAAAGGGCTTTTTTTGTATTTTTCTTCTACTGATCAGCTGAAAAACGCAGTCAGTTGCTGGGTTTTTCATTTTCGGTCCAAATATGTTGTGGGTTTCTTTCGTAATTCAGTTTTGGAACATAATTTTCGCCATTTATGATTTGGGCAGGTTTTGATGGAAGATAAATCATCTGTGAGAATCATCACGCTCAATAGGCCTAAGCAGCTCAATGCGCTTTCAGCTACAATGGTACTAATTTACCCTTTTAAATTTCAAGAAAGTAAATGGTGATGACACAATTTGTGAGCTTTCGTTGATTTTGAGGTTTATTGTTTTCAAACTAGCTTATTATGGTAATGTATCTGTAATAACTAATTAGGGATGAATGTGAAATTTCCAAAGATTTTATCATGGAGGTGATGATGCCATGGCTTGGCGCCAAGTATATGAGCAATTTTTCATATGTTTTGGATTGAGAATGTTAAGAGAATAATTGGGACTTGACTTGCACACTAATCCTAATATCCCTTTTGTGTACAATATTGATTCGGCATGTGTTGGCAAGCTCTTTAGAATGAGCAAAAAATAAAAATAAAAATGATTGAATAGATTCTTAGCTCCTAGCTGCAACACATGAGATTATGAGACTGTTTACACAAACTGTAGAATTCCATTTTTTATAAAGACTTTTGAAGTACTCCCTTCAAATTGAATGCTAAAAAACTTTTTCAATGCAATCCACTAATCCAGGTGTCCCGTTTATTGGAGCTTTTTCATGCTTCTGGAGAGGACCCTTCTATCAAACTAATAATTTTAAAGGTATAGTTGTTTCATCATACTCGACACACTGAATTATGTCCTCCCGGTTCACTGATTTCCGCTCGTCTTTGCAAAATGTGGGGCCCACATTTGTCAATGTACTGTTTTTCGGCTTCTTCAAGATATAAACCATTTTAATAACAGGGTAAAGGAAGAGCATTTTGTGCTGGAGCTGATGTTGCAGAGATTGTTCATTATATTAATGAAGGTCAATAAAGGTTCTTCTAGTTATTCGATTGTTAGACATCGTGAAATAGATCCTTCATATCTAATTTTAATTGTTTTTTGAACGTCAGGTAAATGGAAATTAGGTGCAAATTTGTCGAGAGAGGAACTTACGATGAACTATGTGATGGCTACATACAGCAAACCCCAGGTGTTACTTTTCGGGAAATATTTTAAGTATTTTATTCTACTTAGTTGCTGCTGCTGTTTTCATTTGAAATATTGAGCTGAGTTCTTTCATTTTTCTTTTTTTTTTCCTCCTCTTTTTCTTTGTCAAAATATGTTAAAGGTTTCAGTTCTTAATGGGATTGTGATGGGAGGAGGAGCTGGTGCTTCTATACATGGAAGATTTCGTGTTGCTACAGAGAATACGGTATTTGTCTGAATGACATGTGATGTATGGAGACCTTTTTTTTTTCTTTTATTTATCTTATACGCTGAAGAAAACAATGATTCTTTAGTTAATCAAGCATTTGAAATGTTACTCATATGAGCCTTGCTTTTGTAACCATCTTGCAGATTTTTGCCATGCCTGAAACAGCACTGGGACTTTTTCCCGACGTAGGGGCTTCCTACTTTTTATCTAGACTCCCCGGATTTTTCGGTAATTACTTTTATTCCCATTTTATATCTATAAGCACATAATTCTGAGGTAGATGTTCTGCACCTTCGAAGGTCTATGAGCTGCTGTAATGCATAATCAGTAAAAGGAGCTACATGGAGGTATACCGTATATGGACGTAGTTTATATTTATCTGACTTGTCGATTAGTTGCTTTCCACTTTTAATTTACTAAATTTCGTATAATTCATATAATTTTCTTGGAAATAGTAATAATAATAATGATCTCACACATATATGAAAACCTGTTTAAAATAATAACCATGTTACCTTTTCATCTTTCTTGTTTTGAGAAAACACATATTGACATGCCTTGTATTTTACTTCTTGTTGATTGCATTTACGGAAAAACTCTGCGTAAATAAGATTTTGATTTGTCCTAAAATTTGAAATTTAAACAGGAGAATATGTTGGTCTGACGGGTACAAGGTTGGATGGTGCAGAAATGCTCGTATGCGGTCTAGCAACTCACTTTATTCCATCAGAGGTATAATATTAATCATTCAGTCTTTTGTACAATATATGTTCACTTTTCAAGCTCTCTACATTTTTTTAATTATTTAAAATATGCTTCTTTTGTTGGATAGAAATTGCCGTTGTTAGAAGAAGCACTTGTTAAAGCAGAATCTGGTGATCCAGTTGTTATATCTTCTATAATCAGTGATTACTCACACACACCAAATGTGAAGCCGAATAGTTCTTACCGCAGGTAAAATTATTATTGACTATAGCAATGTTCTCTTTTTTTAAACACTTGAATTAGGAAAAGTAACTTGAACGCCATCCGCACGGAAAGAAATTTCCGAGCAGTTAGGCTTTCGCATCCTTGTTACAAATATGGTTTACTTATTTAGACTTATTGTTTTTATTTGTAAACATATTATATTCACACGAATTACTGCACTCCTCTTACATCTTGTTTTTCTCCTCTTATTTTTCACTAAGGTTTTTCTTCTAACTATACTTGCAGGTTGAATATCATCAATCGATGCTTCTCACGAAGAACAATAGAAGAGATTATAGCCGCCCTTGTAAGGACATTTGAAGGGATTAATTATATCGATTTTTCCATGTCCTTGTCTGAAAGTTTTATATTTAAAAAAGCTTCTAATATTTTTCTCTTTTCGCTTTCCATTTTCAGGAGAGGGAGTTTGCTGAGACAAAGGATGATTGGATCATGTCCACAATACTGTCTTTAGAAAAAGTGTCTCCTATGAGCCTTAAAATTTCTCTTAGATCTGTAAGCACATTAGTAGTCTTTATTTATTTATTTATTTTGATTTATTTTCGCCTGAGTTGTATATTCATACACATTTTGCATGCGGCTTGTAATGCTAGTGAACTGTATAAATGGGCAGATTAGAGAAGGAAGGCTCCAGGGCATTGGTAAATGCCTTATTCGAGAATTTAGAATGCTTTCTCACGCAATGCGCGGAGAAATTTGCAAGGATTTTACGGAGGTACCAATAGCTAACATATCGTAACTCGAATTTTTTTCCCTATCTCTATTCTTCGTAAAGTTTGAAAGTATTATATTCTGTTTTCAGGGTTGCAGAGCTATACTGATTGACAAGGACCGAAATCCGAAGGTACACTACACTGGCCTTATTTAAAAGGAAAAAACTTTAGAATTAGTGTTAGTGATTTAAAGATTTTGCAATTTATTTTTTTTTTTCGTTTTTACAGTGGGAACCCTCCAAAATTGAGTCGATCAGTGACGAAATTGTTGACCGTTACTTCTTGAAGATGGACGATGATGATGACTGGGAAGATTTGAAATTACCTGTGATCAGGTCAGATTTACCGGCGAATGTCATTGCCAAACTGTAAAATTTCATCCTCGGTCACTGTAATTTGCAATTTACTTTACAGTAAGAACAATTCGATCAATTTGATGTGCTGCAATTCTAAAGTAATGTAGACTTTGCTTTGCCCATTGTGTCTATACTTTTTCAATATGAGCAAAAGATTTTTTCCAACTCTTTTGACTTACAGAAAACTCTTTTAAATTTCAATAAGTTAGTATGATATTATCATATTAACGAAAATCCTGGGTGGTTAAACTATATTTTAGTTCATGAAACATGTGAGGAGAAAAAAGCTTCTGAAATCATAAATCAAGGATCAATATTTTGCTCTGAGTTTGACCATAAAAATAAAAGGATCTAAAGTTAAAAATCTAAGATTCGTTGGTAGTTAAACTAAATATTTGAAGCCCCAGACTTTGTATGTTATGTCAGCCAGAAATAATTAACTATATTTTATTTATTGATTATCATGAATAAAGTGAAAAAAAAATAGAATAAACTAACATGAACATATGAACTGATTGGCTCAACCAAATTGGACTAGTAATATTGTGGTAAACAATTTCGGTTGCTTTTATAGGTCTTATCACATTATGTCTCCCTAACTACCCAAACAAATTTAAAATAATGCAAGAAAATCTTGAATTAGATATATGAAACGAATCTGCTGGCAATCCTTGACTGGTTCCCATCAAAATTGAGCAAATAGGTCAGCCGATTTATGAATTATGTAAGGCCTAAAATATTCTCATATATCTACAGTATTGTGATCAGTGCTTATTTTGATGTAAATAATGTATTATTCAAATAAATTATATTATGCTTGTAATTCGTACAAAGAGATGTATCAACATTCACATTGGCTGCACATCTTTTATCTTTAATTTAAGTACATGTGATGGATATTAATCCAATAAAGTTTATGCATATATATTACATTTCTGGAGCCTGAATTAGTTAGTTCAACCCTTAGAAGCTAATTTTCTACAGTAAAACATAGAAGATTAATTGATTATAATTGAACATATAAAAATTGTTTCCAATATTATAAAAATTTTGACCGTAGATTGATTGTAATTGAACATATAAAAATTTTTATTTTATATACCAATAAAGTCAAATCTTATACATATGCATGCACATTTTCCTCCATATATATCGCGAAAACACCTTCTCGGCACTTTCCTCCGTCTCACTAAACAACATTTTATTATCGAATTTTTTGTTCTTTTCATTTTTTACTGTTTATTGTTTGCTGCTTGATCAGGTTAATAATATCAAAGAAAGTGATTGATGATACACACGGTATACGGTATACCGGTAATTAAGTAGAGGTGTAAACTAGCCAGACCAAGCTTGACCTTCTGATATTATTTGATCTCGGACTCGAATTCAACTCGTTTCTTACTTTTAATAAGCCAGTCGATAAAAAATTACATAAAAAAAATAATTCTATTTTCAAGTCTTAACGAGTTGAGCTGTATTGATTAGACTCTTTAACTAAACGAACTTTAAATAAATTCAAGCTAGAGCCATAACCAACCAAAGATGTGTCAAACTCAACTTCAACATTCTTGCTCCATAAAATAAAATCAAATCCAAGTATAATTAATATCATCACAAAACATATAACAAATTAATCACCTTTCAAACCCCTCCAAAAAAAAAAAGAAAAAAACAATATAACATTAGCAAGAATCAATCCCTAACCCCAAATAACCCCTCAACTCCACCGCCGGAAAACAAGGGTACCGCCGCCAAGCTCCGGCGTGCATCCTTAGTATCCCCACCACCCTCTCCTTCGTCCTCCCGCCGCCGCCACCTGCCGCCTGCAGCAGGGCCAGCATTTTCCGAACCGCCCCACAGACGAGCATCTCCTCCAAAACGCGCTCCATCGGGTGGAAACTCGAGACGAGCCACAATATCTTAACCGCGACCCGTGTGACCCAATGCGACACGTCACCCATCTTCTTGCACACTGCTGCTAATCCCAAATCGTGCTCAATCAACGCCAGCCGCCCGTCCGCACACTCGCACATCAACTTTATCAGCTCTAGGATCTTTTCGCATCTCGACCTGCTCGACTCTGGCAAGAGCTCGACTAACGAACACATGGCCCCCGCCTCGATGGCTTTTAATCTATAATCATTGTAATTCACTATTGTTAATTTTAAAACAATACATCGTTTTCGCATTACTACGTTATGAGTGCAGAGATATCCATATTTACGTGTTGAATGCTTTGTGATCCTATGTGTCAATTATATATATACCTGGATTTCTTGGAAGCTTGTAGGATCCGAACTAGAAGTTGCAAAGCGCACGAGCTGGCTCGACTACACACCTCGTCCGAAGCCATCTCTAACAACGACTTAAAAAAGTCGACATCGACATCGCCTTGTTGGCGCGCCATGTGGGCCCACCGCGGCCCGTTATTATCATCCGACCACATCCTTAAAAGTATCGAAATTGCCCAAAACCTCGACTCCGAACTACCCCTCCTCAGCACAACCGCCAAACTGCCCATGAAGTCGGGGCCCGCCACGTCATCACCACCTTCGTCCACGTCATCGAACGGGACCACGTGGAGCACCCCGAGTGCCTCCTCGCAAGCCCTTAGAGTCGAGAAATCGCAGCCCTCGAACGCCTGCCCAATTATCCCGGCGAGAATCCCGACACCGCCAGACCGCACGAACTCACGCGCGATGACGTCATCGCTGCCCGACGATGACGACACGAGTGCTGACCTCAGCTTCTGAAGCCAGCTCACCCTGAATGGGCTCGAGCAGAGCCCATCGAGGATTTGGGCCAGCTCGGGGCCACGAGAGGAGGATGCACGTGTGGCGAGCCACGTGTCGATGAGGCGGCGGAGGGTATGGTTGGGGGTGGTTTCGGGTGTTTGGATGGGCAGCATTGTGGCCGGGCAGGTTTTTTTACGGTAGTCGTGAAACCACTTCTCGATGTTTTTACGGTCGTATGTTACGCCTGTCGAGATCGTGACCGGGTCCCGCATGAGCTCCATCGAGATCGGGCATCGGAAGTGGTCNTATGGAGATGACATGAGAAGGTTATGGAGATGTAATGTGATCATCTCACAATTTTGGTTTTTAGAGTATTGTTTGGGGTGCATTTATTGTCTCTATAATTCAAGGTTTTAGCTAAATGGCACCATACTTTAGATGTCAATTGCTTTTGAGGTACAAAGAAATTGGTCCTAATTAACCACCATAATAGTTATCTATATCTCACACTGGTGTTAAGTGTTACGTTTTTTTAATGGTGATGTAGGTATACTTTTATAATAAAAATGTATATTTTTAGTATGAAATGTCAAACTAAGTAAATTTATTTAAGGATTAGGCCTGACTTATAGCAATTTTAACTGGTCTTCTATAGAACATTTGCACCACTTGGCTTGAAATGTTCTGCACCCGTGAAAACACTGTTGAAAAAATATTTTATTTTCTTACACAATTTTCTTAATGAAGCTAACAGAACCGCATGATAATTGGGTTGACTTTAATGTGGCTGTAATTTATTGTTTTATACAAAAATAGTATACTGTATTGGAGCAGATCTAACGTTAGGCACTAGACATGCACGACATTCAAAATTATTATTATTTTTTTAAATAATGGTATTAAATAAATTCAATTTCGTATATCTGAATTCTGAAACAGTCAAAAGTTATACTTTATTGAGTAAATTACCAAATGTAGGCTATTTAGCTCCACTGGTATTATTTTTAAATGAAGCACTGTATTATATTCAAATTCATTGGTCAGCTTATAGAACATTCGCGGCACGATTTGCTATACTTTCTATATGAGCATCTCCAATTCTTAAATATAATTATAGTAAATTATATTCTACATTAACATTTTTGGTAATTTATTTACTTTTAATCCTCCAATGCACAATGTTATCACAAATGTAGTGATGAGGTGGATATAATTAATGTGTACAATGTAGAGATGAATGTAGTTTATCCACATTCTCATTCACATTATATCCAACCAATGCAGAAAGGAGAGAGAAATAGTATTACCATTTTCAAAATATCTAATTATTTAATTCATTTTTTTCATATTTATAAAATTTTTATTTTGGCCAAGTGAACAATATTGTGTTTGATTATATTGTGCATTGGAGATAATTTTTTAGAACTAAAGTTGTGAACCTAACAATTATCTTACGTGGTTCACAATTCATCTAATTATATGATATTTGTTAAAATTTATGTAATAACAACATTTATGTATTGGAAATGCTCTGAACGTGGATGACTTGTGCAGACTGTTGAGCTGCCTCACTAACTCTGATATATCAATATGTAAACATAATTACTTAGGCAAAATTAGGTAATATGTCCAGTAATTTTGAATAAATCTGCCAGTAGCAAATGAAAATGTCCACTTGCTAGTAAACATCCAGCGAAGTAGGTTCGAAAAGCAAAAACTATCCAATTACTAGTTGTAAAAAAACATGTGTAGGTGTAGCAAATGATTTGTCAATGTACATAACTATTATAATAACCGAAATTAATAACAGAGCCGGCTTTTGGAGAGCAGGTGAGCAACTGCACAGGGCCCCCAATTAATTGGGGCCCCATATATAAATATTAAAATATTATATATATATATATATAATAATATAAATAAAAAATATAATAATATATTAAATGACATTCATGTTAGAACATTAATCTTGTTTTTGTTGTATTTTGTGGGTACGAGGACATCTTGTTTTAGTTGTATCGTTAAATATTTGTATTTTATTAATAAAATATTAAAAATATACTATTCAATATTGTAATTAGAGGGGCCTAATTTTATTTTTCGCTCTGGGCCCAAAAAATGTTGGAGACGGCCCTGATTAATAATAATATCATTCCAAAAATAGCAAAAATCCTGTCTGCGTGGGACTATCTGATTGGTTGATGACGAAGGATATGTGATGGTCAAACCATCATGTGATTAATTTAATTGAGTACTAACATATATAGTTGTGTCGGTTCAATTTAATAGTAGATGTTTTAGTTCTTTAGTAATGGCAATTGATGTTTTAGTTCAATATAATACTAATATTGTATCATCCACATAGAAACAGGCCAAGGCAGACCTAAATATTTCCTACTATATTATTCACTAACAAAATAGATTGCATGTGAAAACAATCTCAATATTTATCAAATATATTCTTTATCTGTCATTAATATTTTCATTAGCATTTTAAAAGGAATCAACATCTAGAGCCCCACATTTTATACTTATAAAAGAAACATTAATCACAAAAGAGCAAAGGTTTTAATCTACTACAAACCTCCTCAGTTCTTGATATTCGTTTCTATGTTACAAATTGTACCTTCGAACAGAGAATTTATTGGAAAAAAAAACGTGGACATTGTATTTAAAAGAATCCATTAACGACAACCCAAAGAATTAAAACAATAATAAAAAATATAAATCTTTAAAGCTGATTGGGCAGGGAGGCAGTGTATATAAAAACAGAGGATTTGTGAGAAAGATCGATACTTTGTTGAGCCAGGTAAATTTAGCGACTCTACAACTTCCAATTATTACAATTCGAGTTTTCAAGAGCCTCACAAATTTTATAAGTTATTCTTTTTTTTTTTCTTTTTTTTTTTCTCAATTTACAATGTGTAGTTCCCTCCCCTCTACGACGGAAACAAATTTACAGCCGAAGTTAAAATAGAGAAAAAAAAATGTGGCTGCATTTAATTATCTATCTATATAAAATAAGAATAAAATTAATCATTTTTAGAAATAATTTCTCACCAAAATCATTAATTACATAATAAAAAAGGTAATTTATATCTTTTTAAGTGTTTTTAAATTATAAAAAAAAAACCCATTAAATGCACTATCATACTTTCGCATGCTGTTTGACCTGCCATATTCTCAGTTTTCGTTGTAAAAAAAATATTATAGGATTTTGTTTTGTGTACATTTTGAATTTATTTAAAATTAAACTATTTTAATGATATCTTAATCTTTTTTTTATAGTAACGATTTCTTTTTAGCAGATTTTTTAAAACCACATATTAAAAAATGAAACCACATTCTAATTTTGGACGAAACATATATTTTTTAATTTTTTAAAAACAAAATATAAAACTGCAATGGAGTTAGACATGTTATATTATCAATTTTATGTTTATAATTTTTTATAAAAATAAGCTATAAAAGGTATACTCAAAAAACAAAATTATTCTCAATATTGGAATGAATTTGGTATAAAAAATGAGAATAATTGACAAAAAACATATGTATTCAAAATCTACACTTTAAGGTAACAGTTTTTTTTTATATTCTATATAAAATTAAACTTCACCTGATAAATCATATCTTTAGTATTTATGACAATATAAATATTTTCACTATAATTTTATTTTCGTGGTGTTAACATTATGAAAATCAACAAAGAATTAGAGGAAAGAGATGTCTATGCAATTCGAAATTACCAAGTGGAGTGCAATCTTGATATATATCGATCTACAGTTAAATGCAAAATGATTTTGCATGAAAAAATAAAGAGGTTTTTAACAATGTACGATTTTTTCATGACGAATATTTTATAATTATTTGACAAATGCTCTATGTATTATATAACTTATTAATTAATAACCTTCAATTATAAATTTTACAAAAACAAATACAGCCCATGTCACGGGTTGTATTTGATTTTAGGGTAAATTATGTCAAACTCCCTTGTGTTATACGAAATAGGTGCGCTTTTTAAAAAATACATGACACCCCCTTGTATTTAAGTAGTTGTTGCACGATTCACCCATTCCGTCCAACTTAACGCCGCGTGCACAACACCTTCTATACCTGCGAATATTTTACATAATTAATAAATTACCTTTATACCCTCCTGTACTTTATTGAACAAACTAAAATTTTTTGCCAATAGGAGGAACCGAACCTGGGTCTCAAAGAGGTGAGCTTGCCCATTAAACCAATGGGCCATATTGATTCTTGTATAAGAATTGTAAACAGATACATTTATTATATCAACTCTAAACGAATTAATAAAGTAAAATAAAAATATAATAGGTAAATTTAAAACAAATTAAATAATAATAATAATAATAATAATAATAATAATAATAATAAGAGTTTGAGAATAAAAATAATGTAAAAAATACAGTATGATAGAACTTAATATAGTAGCATGAATTGAAATTAAATAAATTATATATTTCTATTATAAAATTAAAATTAATATAAATTTGGAAATATATAATAATAAAAAAAATTAGATTTAAAAATAAAAACAATAATTAATATAGTAGGTACATTTAATATGTATTAAATAACCATAACAATCATAATAATATAATAATAACATGAAATAAATTAAATTAATATAAAAATAATGAAAAATAAATTATAATAAAGTAAGATAAAAGTAATTATAGTAGCAGGAATTAACATTAAATAAATTAACAATTTTATTTATTAAAATAAAATTAATAATATAAATTGTAAATGTATAATAATAATAATATTAAATTAGAAAATGAATAAAATTAAAGTAAACTAGTTAAAATAACATAAAAAATATAATATAAAATAATAAAATATAAAAATGTTAATGTAAAATAAATTAACTTATTATAAAATAGTATATTAAAATAAATAAAAATATTAAATTAACAGTAAAATAAAAATATAATTTATCTATTAATTTTTAGTACAATTTACTCTTCAATACCATATGAATAAAAAATTAGAAAGAAATTATTATTTTTAGTAAATGATTTTAAATAGAAATAAATAATTTTAATTTCAAAATTTTATTTAGTAAAATATATTTTAATTTTATATCATTGTATTAAGTTAAACAAAATAAATAAAATTTGATAACTAAGATATAATAAGATGAAACAAGATGAATAATTTAATAGTATAATATGAAATATTACAATTTAAAATAAATAATAAAAACAAAAGTAGATGAAAATAATTTAAATTAAATACAATAAATATTTTTATTTTAACTATAATTTTTGTATAAATACATATAAGTTATTGTAATTATTCAATTTATTTTGCATAGTTTATTATATTTTAATTTATTATAAGCTTATAGTTTATTAATGTATTTTAATATAATTTACATTATCTTTTAAATTTAATTTGATTTGTACATGTGTAATGTCTATATATATTTAACGTTCTTAAATCTAATACACAAGTTGGACTGGTGGGGTGGTAGCAATGCTCCTTTCCTCCCATGAGGTCTTGGGTTTGAACCTCATGGCCTGCAAGTGATAAATTCAATTTATCAAAAATATATATAAAAAATTCGGAGGATATAATAGGGTTTTCAGTAAAAAAAAATAACTCCGTTAACTGGACAAATAAAAAAAAAGGAAGCGTGTACATCGGTTACTCTAATATAAGAGGGTGTTATGCATTTTTTAAAACACAGGGTACTAACGCGCCTATTTCCTATAACACAGGCGGAGTTTACCCTTTCATTTTACTAAAAGATAGTAGAAATGTCCTCTAGACTTCACTCTAGTATTTAATAAGTATTTATTACTTGCGGTGCTACGTGTCACCAAGTTTCTCTGTTGTACCGTATGCACGTTCAGTTGTACGCTATATCACAAATCATAATCAAATTGTGTTTGTATCATATTGCATCCTTTTTTTTCTACGGAAACCGTTTCTCGTACCATGTCTTCTACCAATGGAGAAACCGATCAGGTTTGGGAAGTTAAACCCCCTTTTTACATGATTTTATAGTTCAAATTTTTCATTTTCATATTCATTTGAAGTTGAAGTTCGAACCTTGTCGGATAGTTTGCTCCGATTACAATCTTGATTTATCTACTAAAAAACGCAATCTTTTTCTGAAATTTTCCTATTTTCGATCGATATATTTTGTGGGTTTGTTTCATAATTCAGTTTGATGCTCGAATTTTCGGCAGTCGCTTTAAAAACTGATGAACTTTGGGCAGGTTTTGGTGGAAGAGAAATCATCTGTGAGGATTTTCACGCTTAACAGGCCAAAGCAGCTCAATGCACTTTCAGCTGCAATGGTATGTACTGTGTTAATCGTTAGCTGCGCTGTAAGAATTTTTAGACAGTTATTTATGAACACAGCTGTTGTTACACTAACACATTATTTATCTTGTTGAGATTCTTTTGTGATCATAATCTAGGTGTCTCGTTTGTTGGACCTTTTTCTTGCTTGTGCAGATGATTCTTCAATCAAATTAATAATTTTAAAGGTATATATGTTATCATTATTTAAATTACCAACTGGGTCCTGTTTATTAATCAAATGATGAACACTGGTGTTGTCAATTTCGTTTTTACTTTAGTTTACATATGTTCGTGCCGCTAATAACAGGGGAAAGGAAGAGCATTTTGTGCTGGAGGTGATGTTGCTGCAGTTGTTCATGATATTAAACAAGGTAGACTGGCTGATAAGTTTTTTGTTGATTGCTATTGTGAACTAAACCCATTGTATATAATCGGCTGTACATATAAGTTGATGTGTTGAAAGATTTGTTGGCTGTCAAGTGTCAAATTAGAATAATAGTATATTTTTGAGTTATTTAAGGCTTGTAGTATGTGTATTATTTTATGAAAGTAAAAAATATAGGCTATTGCCTTTTGCAGTAGAGAATGACCCGTTTTTCTGTGTGTCATCAGGTAATTGGAAGTCAGGTATGAGTTATTTCAGAGAGGAGTTCACAATGAACTACGTGATTGCTACTTACAGTAAACCTCAGGTGCTAATGTGTGACAATATATCCAAGTTTGTTTAAATTCTTGTGGCTCCTTACCGATTCTTCTTGGTCTTCTGCAAATTTGTGATCAAAGGTTTCAATTCTGAATGGAATTGTGATGGGAGGAGGAGCTGGTGCTTCTATACATGGTAGATTTCGAATTGCTACGGAAAATTCGGTATTTATCTTTTTTCTCTATCAAATTACTACATTCATTGTGATGTAAGAAAAATATATAAGGAAAAGTCCACTTTGTGTCCATTCAGTGATCAGTATTATTATCAGTGACTTCTAACTCGCATTATGATTTTTCATTTTCATGGAGATTAATGATTTTACGTAATTGATCAGCACTCACTT